ATGCTTTATAAAAAAGAAAAAAGGAACGGAAAAAAGTCCAATTACAATTGCAAAAAAATTGAAAGCTTCAACTAATTATGTGACTAATTTAATAGACATCGAGAAGTGATGGTTGAGAAAAATTTAGAGATGTGGGACCATAATTTTAGGACCATCCCACATGCATTTTGATTCCCTTGGACAACAAGGCAGCCAAATTAGACCCTATAGTGGTTTTAAAAAAGGCCCTTTAAAACACATCTCCTCCACTCCATTTTGCCCTCTAAATGCCTTTTACCCTTCCCCAAGTGACCCCGTGCGCCCTTGACGTAACAAACAATTCCTCTCTCTCCCCTCTTCTCTAACCGATCAAATTAATACTCCCAACTGAAAATTTTTCCCTCAGTCAAGATACGGCGATGTCGCTAAAAGCGCCCCGTTGCAATCCTCCGATTCTGCTGGCCGCACTCTTTGTGATTGCTATTGTTGCGTACTCTGCCAACGGCCAGAATGATTCCGTGAAGTGTAACCCATCATGTGCCCAAAGTCCTCCACCTCCTTCTCCTCCACCGCCTTCCCCTCCACCTCCTCCACCGGCATGCCCACCACCACCAGCCCTGCCTCCACCAACCCCCAAAAAGCCGCCGACCGGATACTGCCCGCCACCACCACCACCACCGTCATTTATATACATCACGGGCCCACCGGGGAACCTCTACCCTATTGACCAAGATTTCAGTGGAGCCGGGCGGAAGTCTGATCAGTTGGGGTTGCTGCTGGCTTCGGTTGGGGTTGGAATTTTGGGCGTCCTGGCTTTTTGGTGAATTTCATGATTACGGTAAGTACAAGTATTTTTCCTTACCCCTTTTTCCTAGGACAGGAAAATTCATTGTCCGGAAGGAAAATTTCAGGACCTTACCAGTAGTTGTACTTGCTGTAACTTACATTGTTCAGTTCTTCCAGTTTCTTATATATTAACAGTTTCTATTTTGTTGTAATTTCGAACAGTTATTAAAATTTCAAAGGTCTTTCTTTTCTTGCCATCTAATTTTATACACTATGCATCGATCAATTATGACTATTATTTATTTTTTTAATCTATTATAAGATTTGATTTTGATATATCTAATTAATATACGAATTTAATTAAGTTCATATTGATGAGTTAGACATTTGGAATCTCCTTTTAGATCTGATCAGATTAGATAACGTTTATTGATTAGACCCTGTCGGTCTGAAGTTGAGAAAAATTAGATAAAATTAATGAAATTTCTCCATGGATCTCCACTTGCACTTCCGCCGGCCGGCGTCTGCCCTGCTGTTCTAATAAAATGTGTACATCTATCGCTGCCGGGGGCCCCGCCGGTGGTTGCTGAAGTTGGCATGCCCGTTGTTTCCTTAACACGTGACTCACAGCTGAGATGTGGGAATTTTATTCTAGTGATATTATACATACGTCATGTTGTTAAAATTTGGTAATAAAAAGAATCAATTATATATGTCTGTTTATTTTCAAGCAGAGTATTAGGTATTAAAACCATTGTGCGGGTATGTTTTTCCCTTAAGTTCGATGGATCATGCCGTGATGTTGTTGTCAAACTCAGACATCATGACCATAAAAGAAAAGGACTGCTATTTTCCTTTTTAGATTAGAGTTAATTGCTTAAAATTGTAGTAGTTAATCTATGACGTTGTTAACTCAAAATTAAGATTTTTAAAGGGTGAACATCAAATTGTCGAGTTTTATGTTTTAGAAAAAGATATATCATTTAAGGCTGAAAGAGTGGAGACCGAAAAGGAGTCGAAAAACTTAATTTAAGTAGTTAATTAAGATAAACATGAGATTAAAAAAATTAAGATATTTTAACAATTTAAATATAAAAAAATAATAATAAGACTAAAAAAATTTTAATGAGTCAACACAGAAGAAATATCTATTAAGGATATTAAATAATTTTATAAATAATCATGATATTTAAAGTGTTAGAATACTCAAGTTTTACTAAATTTTATTGTAACAAAAATATAAAAAGCAAAGCTAATCCATGATGACCTTAACTGATCAAAATTAAGATTTTTAAAAGGTGAACATCAACTTGTCAAGTTTTATGTTTAGAAAAAGACATTATTTAAGGCTGAAAGAGTGAAGACTGAAGAGGAGATGAAAAACTTAATTTAAGTAGTTAATTAAAATAAAAATGAGATTAAAAAAAAATCAAGACATTCTAACAATTTAAATATCAATAATAATAATAATAAGACTAGAAACTTTTAATGAGTCAACACCTAAGAAGTATCTATTAATGGTATTTAAATAATTTTGTAAGTAATCCTAAAATTTAAAATATTAGAATTTAAGGTTTTATTTTTCTTTTGCTAAATTTTATTTGCAAAAAAAATATATATATAAAAGCAAAGTTACATGTCATTTTCAGTCTCTAAATTTTTAATTTTAAATATTTTTAGTCTTAAAATTAATTTTTATACTTTTTTAATCTTTAAACTATAAAAATTATACTTTTTAATCTTTTTACCAATTAAATTCAGATATATATTATAAATTAAATAACTAAAAAATATAAATAAATTTAATAAATTAACTTAAAAAAATTAAAAAAATATATTTGTTATAATTTAAAATCTAAAAAATAAAAAAAATAATTTAAATACTAAAAATTTTTAAAACTAAAATTTCAAGAACTAAATTTTAGCATTTAACTAAAAGCTATGACCCCGACGGCTTTTAGTCTAGTCAATGGAAGTGTCCAAAAATTAAAATAGTGTAGCATTTGAAAATTCCACATACCATGTGTAACACTTATATTGGATGGCGGATGGTGCATATATACTGTAGTTAGTGGAAGGAATGTGGAAAGAGAGAGGTTACTGCCAATATCTGCCATGCCAATGCTGCCCTACCCTATGATTTATTCTGATTGGATGGGAAGAGTTTGTTACGTCGGGATCTTGAAACAGGGTTGTGTGTGTCAGTGGATGAGATCAACTTCGGTTTCACCAAACCATCGGCCCTACTCATCTCTTTGTACACTTCGTGGTGGGTCATCATGCCTCGTGGCTCATGATAAGAATGGGTAGTTTTTTTCAAATGGAAATTGAAATGTGGAGGTTTGGCTTACTTCTTAACTAAGTTGATTATATTATTTTATTTAATTAAATATATCTCAATCATTTCAAAACAAAATTTTTTAATAGTTATGTATGATTAAACAATAGATTGCTTATAATTTTTTAAAAAAATTAGTGCATATCAATTTTTAAGTAAAAAAATTATTATATAGTATAAATTATATTGAATTGTAAAATAATAAATTTTAAATAAAATTAATCATAATTATTCGAAAGCAATAGAATGTATAGAATCTCTAAATTATGTGTACAATGACAACTACAAACATGTACAAATTGTGTTGAAATATTTATAATTTATAAATAATATTAAATTTTGTTTCGTTAACAGAATTAGTATCAACCTTTGCCTAGCATGAAGTTTAGTGTTATCCTGGGGCTTTGATTAAGCGTTTAGGAATTTTGTGTTGCAGAGTCCAAATTTATGTCTCTGTTTATAGGTTTTAAATTTCATCTTGCCAAATTGTGTGATGGTTCTTTGCTGAAATGCAGTCCCAAAAGAACCTCCTTGAAATTCAGGGACTAATACCCAAAATATTCAAGATGAGATAAGTTTAGTGTTGACCAGCATAGTTGGGCTAAGCTTTGTAGCTATACCTAATTTAAAAAGGTGAGGTGGCTTGTCAATCCTTATCTTGTGTATATAACGAAAACTTTGCTATCCTCATCCTATGAAAACGAAAAGAAAATAATTAATACATATTTTGTTTAAGTTTTTTATATTTAATTTAATTTAATCATTAAAATATAATATAAATTAAGTTGATTAAGTCAATTTTTATATTTTATAAGTATAATTATATTTTAAATTTTAAATTAAAAAATAATAATTTTTTTAATAAATATATTATAAATTAAATGATATACTAATCAGTTTTAAATATCAAACGATTGGATTATATATCAACAACATAAAAAAGAGCTAAAATATATATGAAATGCATTAAATTAATTCAATCAAAGGTTCATGAATGCGGAAGGGTTCGAACAAAATGGTTCGTGAATCCGGAAGAAGACAGCAGAAGGTCCAATGTCAACATGGCAGTAACTACTACTCCTACCAACAGACAAAAACCCTCCA